GGAGAAGCTGCTCCAAAGCAAGTTAAAGTCAGTGAAAGTCTTTCAAGTTCTGTGATTCAGTGGGATTTGTTCCAGGTAGTTAGTTTGTAGTTGAAAAGCCAGGAACACTCCCCATCCCTCCCACCTGGCCATGCTCCCATTCTCCGTGTTTCATGCTTAAGGCAATTCTTTAATGAAGTCAGTTCATCCTTCAAGTTGTATGATAATAAATTAAATGTAGGTACTGTACGGTGCGTGGGATCTGCCCATGATTGAGCAGAGCTGACTTGAATGCACCTGCGGTCATAATCTTATGAAACATTTGGCACAATACAAGAAGGCACAGACATCTTGCCCAAACTAGCATTCCCTTGGAACATACAGACTGGCTGGCACACACTGAAAGGCAGACAGCCCAGGCTGGCCCGGAGATGAGGGAGGGGAGATTGAGTCTAATCATAAAAGCCAACTGCTTTAACCATGGCTCAACATTAGGAAAAACTTCTTCACAGTTAGGGTGTCCAGACTGTGGAATAAGCTCCCTTCAGAAGTGGTGCAATCACCTACCCTGGAAATCTTCAAGAGGAGACTGGACAGTCACCTTGCTGGGGTCACCTGCAGTTGTCTTTCCTGCCTGGTGCAGGGGGCTGGACCCAATCGTCTGAAGTCCCTTCCAGCCTTACAATCTATGAATCTATGTGGGACCTTTTATTTAATCTCACGGGATCCACAGAGGAAGGTCTGTATTGTCATGGTTCTGGATTTACCACTATAATCCCTGCAAGAATTTTTATTTCCCCCCCAAGGTCTGAGGGCCTCAAGCAGAGTGGGAAGTGCGTCTTATTAGTCATTCAGCTCTAAAAGAAAAAATACCGCTTTTGCATTTCTTCAGAGAAATCAAATGACAGGGGTTAGGGGCAGATACAGGGAAAACTGCTCACATGAGAGGGGAACAGCAGGGCAGTAACAATCCTGCTTGAAACACCAGCAAGCAATTTAAGTGCTCCAGTCACTGTTACCAGCACTAAGAAGCAGAATAAACTGAGGCTGCAGCTGTGAAGTCAGGATCATTGGGTTGGGAGGGAACTCCAGAGTCATCTATTCCAGAGGTGGTCAACCTGCAGCACAGGTGTCACAAGTGGCATGGGCAGCCTCTGTGTGTGGCACGCAAGAGATTAGGGAGGAGACGGACAGCACAGTAACAGACAGGGCAGGGAGCAGAAAACAGAGCATCAGATTAGGCAGAGAGCACAGGGCAGGAAGCAGAGCAGCAGATCAGCCAGGGGAAGGGAATTGCGGTGGCCTTTGGGGTGGATGCAGGGCTTAATTTGTGGCATGCCTGCCAAAAAAAATTGGCCCCCACTGCTCCTGCTTCACAGCTGCAAGGATCCTTTGTTCCTAAACCACCTCAGAAAGCTGCTGACCCAGCTTGTTCTTGAAAAATCCTCCAGTGAAAGAAATTCCACAGCTTCCCTAGGATGCTTGTTCCATTGTCCTGCTCTTCTGACTGCAAGGAGGTTTTTCCTGAGATTTCCGCTACAACTGCTTTGCTGCAGTTTAAATTCACTGTTTTGTGTGCTGCCCTTTGGGCACAGTGGCAAATGGCAGAGGGTAGCTTTTCTCCCTTTGCTCTGCATGTGGCCTCTCACACTTAGTTAATGTCTCTACTGTCTCTGTCCAAGCTAGGTACTACCTCTGTGAAGCATGCTCTAGCTGTTCTCTCCTACTGCAAATATGCCAAATGCCGGAAATATGGCAGGTGGCTGCCATTCGAATGGTGCTGTGTGCATGCCAATAAGTCTGCCTGCCACTTGTGTGCCCAATAACCACTACATTACATTTGTTCAGCAGTGAGTGGGTGGGGTGCTTTTTCATTACAAAATGCCCGAAGGAGTTTCCTCTTGCCTCATTTTGGAAATGGAATAAGGTCGGTTACCATAAGGCACTTTCAGCACGCACAAACAATGTCCACAGCAGCTTTGCTTTAAATTTGCACCACAGCTTATTTTGCTATCACTTGGGTACAGTTTGGGCGTGTCTACATGCAGTACATGTAGACATGTCCAAAGATTTGTAGAGATTCATTGTTACTGTCTGTGCCTGCTGCCAGAGTGAAGGAGGTGAGACCCACAGCACAAAAAATAGCTCATGATCTGACAAGAGTTATGGATCATGTGGTGAATGACTTGGTGCAGCATGCAGCTATAGGGTGTAAAATGGAGAGAATCCAGAGGGCAGCAATAGGAATGGGCAGCTGGTTGGGAAATATGGTTTCTGGGGAAGGGTTGGAAGAACCTAGTTGGGCTGTTCTGGAAAATAGAAGAGTAAGAGAAGATACGGTACTGGTAAGTCTGCTAGTATGTAAAAGGTTGTTAAAAAGGAAAGAGTTTCAGTTGTTCTTCTTGCCCATTGTGGCAAATCTGCCACAAAGAAGTTTAGGCTGGATATTAGGAAAAACTTCCCTGCTCTTGAAGATGAGAAACACTAGAGCAAACTGCCTAGGGGTGTGGTAGAATCTCTCATTGGAGGTTTTTAAGAACTGGCTGGACAAGCTTCTTCCAGGGATAATCTAGGTATATTTGGGTCCTGCCTCAGAATAGGGGGTTGGATTAGATGGCCTTTAGATGGTGCTTATGACAACAAGTAGAGTCAGCCAGATGCCCAGGTTTCTGCTGCCCTTCATGCGATCCAAACATTCAGCCCTGAGATGATGACCTCTGTGCAAGAGATGTTACTTGACAAGGCAGAACCTGCACAGCCATCTCTGCATGACTTCCCCTACTGTAGGTGTGGCCCCCATGAGTTGAACTAATTGTAGCTTGGAGACTGACCCAACACAGCAGCCTCTAGTTCTAGGGAGTGTAGCAATAAGCTTTTAACTCTCCCGCGAACGGGTGCTCTTTGGCAACCTACAAGGGTCTAGCCCAGCACAAGATAATTCGTAGCTATGTGATTATGCTACACCTCAGCTTTTGAGCAAAGTTCAGCCCTTCCCCTGGTCCTGGATACCTGGCATGGTCACTCCCCCTGCTCCCACACAGTTAAGAGCTGAATGCAGCCGGACACAGTTTGTTTTGCACATACTGTGCAATGCATGGGTGAGGCTGCTAGGGTTGACCAGGGTGTAAGTGATTAGTCCAAATGGATCATGCTAAATCAGAGGTTCACCAGAGGAAAAGCCAAGTCCAAAGCTAGGTATTACTCCTGGTCTGGAATAACAAACTGAGGGTCAAGACAAGACTCTGGTCAGGACAAATAGTTGATCCAAGCTGGGGCATCCAAGATAGGACCAGGAGAGCAGTAACAGGGAGGTGGGCCTAAGCCAGAGGTCCAGAACATGGCATCAGCTTTAGGAGTTCCTAGCAGGCCAGAGGCACAGCAAGGCAGTTTGTTGCCCAGACAGCTCCCTGCTGTCTGGCCAGAGCTTATACTGGCCAGTGTGGGTATAGCCTCTTCCTGGGAATTACTCAGTCTGATTCCCTGACACCATCCAGCTGAGACCTGGAGCTGGATCTGTCCCAGCTGGGCCTAAACTCACTGCAGTGGTCAAGCCTCATGGTTTTGTCCTCCCAGTTGAAACACCAGCACCACTATGAAACTGGGTGTGCGTAGCTACTCCCACATCCACACAGCTGAGGGACTCCTGGGAGTCTCAGACTCTCAGGCATTCACAGCTGAGAGAGGCAAATGCACCAGTCCAGGAATAATTATCCCTATGAAATGACCAGCTTCTAAAACAAACACTGCTGTTTTATTTAGCAGTTGAAAGCAGCCTACTTGGCTGCCAGGTTCAGTCCTCACGGGCACGGTTTTATTCAGAGTGCCCATGAACTATGCTTTCATAACTGTATGATTCAGGTAATTATTGTCAGGGGTGTAATTTGGGGTGGGTGAATGGGCCACCAGTCCCAGGCACTGACTTAAAAGGGGCTCTGAAATGGTGCTTCCCCCAGGGAGTCTGTGCCATGGCAGCAGCTGGCCCATACTACACAGCAGCAGCTGGATTCAGGATACCACAGCAACAATCAGGGGTGGACAGACAGCAATGTGGAAACAGCAGTCAAAATCTGTGGGTCCACAGGACAGGTAAGAATACCACCCTGCTCCTCCCCTCTTCTGGCACTTAGCACCCATTCCCCCTGAGCATAGTGGGGCATAAAACTTGTGAGCTGCACTTCTGATTACTGTTGTTCTTTGTGTTGCTGTAGCACACAAAGTCCATAGCCAGGCTCCGTCATGCCCCAAATAGAATATACACCTTGTTTTTGAAAGGCAGAATGACGAAAAAGAAGAAGATATTTTCCAGAGTTAAGGTTGCACAGAGCAGGGACAGAGCCTAATCTTCAACTGACTCAGCCTCCCTTTCCTCCAAAGCTAAAGCTGAAACCTTAGCTACTGTTGAAGACTAGTCTCCATGGGTGGATCCATGCTTTTGAAGAGAGTTAAAGAGTTTCCAGGGCTGTGAAATAGGAGGGGAGAGACTAGGAACAGCTAGCAGACAGCCAAATTGCCCTAAGAAAACTTAGCTTGAATAATGGAACATCAAAACCATTAAAAGCAGTGGTGATCGTTAGCACCTCTGGAGTGAAGATCAATGAGTCACTTGACTCCCTCAGTTTCCTGTAGTAACGTAGCAATTGCTGCAGTGTGGAGCAGGATCAAATCAGAATGCTTTTATCCTGGGCAGAAAAATCAGCTTCCCCTAAATACACACACCCCAATCTTGGGGGCCTGATTTTGGGGAGAAGGTATTTATTGTACATGAGAGTGATAATTCTGTGAGCACCAAATTCCACAAAGATAAGAATGGCAACCTTTTCATGAAGTTGCTTATTATATTGAGTTACAAGTACCCAGCACAGCCAAGTTCAGCACCTATTATCTCTATTACTTGTGGATTACATGTCTCTTTTCCTGTAACATAAGACAGGTAGAGATTTTTGTGCATCCCTTATCATTACTGTGTACCATGTGTTGCTTAACTTTTGCTATGATTAAAGGGCAATAGTGCCTGAAGCTTGAAGCAAATATGTCTGTAGTACAAATGGGTTGTACATTGTAAACTGGCAGAGGGAATTTGTGCATCTAATCAGGCAGCATTAATTATTTAAAACAGTTCTTAAAACCCCAGCAGGCCCTGCAGTTAGAAGCTGTCCTCCAGGCCTAAGCACCCACAGTGACGATGCCGTAGCTAGCTAATATGGGTATGGAAAACAGACAAAGAAGGAAACCTTTAGCAGTGGAACACTAGTTCTTTCAATAGAATAGTTATCCAAACAGCCCAACAGGTGTATGTGTACTATAGGCAGGGGAGATGTCATCTGTCTCTCTCTGACATGCAGTCATTTCAGCAACAGAACAATTAATCAAATAAAACAAAGAAAGACACAAATTTACCTACCTTTTTGCTGTTTGTCAGTGGTAATTTTACTTACTCCTGAATAGGTGCTGGTAAGTGTCTCTGCCACTGACTTGGGACAGTTTCAGTGTCCACTAATTTGGGGTGTGGTAGTACTTGGTAGATGTGGTAGCACATCTCATAATCAAACCCTACATGCCACAGGTTGGGCACCCAAATTTACTGAACACTTCTGCAGAGATTGGCCCCATCTCTTAAAGTGCTGTTTGTCTCTTTAAAAAATAGTGAGAACTGCATAAGACCACAGGACCACACAGGAGCACTGTTTGCTAAGCATTTGAAGATGCCTGGAGGAAACATACTGCTTATGGATAATGGGCAAGATGTTATTCTACATTCTGCAGTGCAATGCAGCCACACAAGGCGGATGTGGTTTTGGAATGCATCAATAGAAGCATTAGGTGCAAGGCATGGGAGGTGATAGTGTTTCTCTACTCAGCACTGGTTAGGCCTTATTGGGAGTAGTATGTGCAGTTCTGGGCTCCAGTTTTTAAGAAGGATGTGGAGTAGTTAGATAGTGTCCAGAGGTGGGCAAGAAAGATGATAAAAGGCTTGGAAAGCAGCTCATAAGAGGAGAGGTTGAAGGAGCTAGGCATGTTCAGCTTGTGGAAAAGGCACTTAAGCGGGGACTGATAGCAGTCTTCAAATATTTGAAAGAGTGTCATAAGGAAGCGGAAAAGCACCTTTTCTCTTGCTGCAGAGAGGAGGACATGGAACAATGGCTTAAAGTTGCAACAAACTAAGTTTAGATTGCATAATCTGGAAAACTTCTTGACTGTGAGAATAGTGAGGCAGTGGAGCAGACTGTCTAGGGATGTTGTGGGCTTGCCATCACTGGAGGTGTTCAAGAAGAGGTTGGACACCTGCTGGTCAGGGATGATCTAGGCACAGCTATGCCTGTGTTCTAGGGCTGTGTGAAGCTTCAGTCGCTGATTCGATTCAGTGGAGATTTGGCTTGATTTGGTGGCTGAATCCGAATTGAATCAGGAAACCTTTTAATCTCTTCGAATCGAATCGGAACCTCTGAATTGATTTGGAAAGATTTGATGGTTCAGACATAGACACAACTTTAAATGTTTTTTCTATATACCTCAAGGTGCCAGGTGGCTTATGATTGCTGCGATGGTGGGGTGGATGGAGCATCCCACAGAAGCATGGGGGGCTCCCCAGTGCACTTGGCAGTAGACCCAGAAATGAACCAGAAGCACTTCTGGGTCTGCTGGGGAGCGCTCAGCCCCTCTCCTTTTTCCCCCCCCTCCCCGGCACCTCCCCGGCTCAGCGACTGGTGCCTCCTGGGTCTGGGGGGGGGGTACCTGGGACCCCCCCACAGTCAATTGCAGGGCATCCCCCGCACCTCTGTGGGACACTCCATCCACCCAACCATCACAGCATTTACAAGCTGAGCCTGGTACTTTGAGGTAAGTAGAAAAAACATTTAAAGCTGTGTCTATGGCCAAATCACTGTTTGTTTGTGTGTGTGTTTTGTTTTTTTTTTTCCCAGTCAGCATCAAATCTTCAGATTTGGAATCAAACCGGGAAAGTGAACCAAATCAACTGATTGAATCACTGTTCCTGATTTGGGCTGAATCTAAATCCAAATGGAATAGAGCCTGTTTCACACACCTCTACTATGTTCTACCATGGGTGTTTCCCAGGCTTCTGGACTTTGCTGGTTCCCACCCACCCCTCTTTTCTGCTATAAGTATGAAGCTGTTTTAAAGCCTTCCCAGAGATAATGGGTGTTGGCTCAAGCCAAAGTTGAGGACTTTGATTGTGTTGTGTCAATGTTCCTGCTGGGACCAAAGCTGGAGGTTCCTGGCTAGAGGATCTTGCCCCTCTGCTCAGGGCCACAGCTACACTGTTCAGATTATGAACCCCACATCTGGTATAGAGCCACCTTTCTGTGTGTGCTTGAATTGGCTGTTTTGTATCCAATGCTGCCAGAAACTGTCTTCAGATGGAGGGGAAAAAAATCCTCTGAGCTTTCAATGCAAGCGTACCTAAAACCTTTGCATCGAATTGAACACAAACATTTCCCCTTTCCCAAAAGCCAGCTCTTCTGGATCCCGTTCCAGCCCCGCTGACTGCCAAGAGAATGCTAGCAAACACTGGTTCTGGGCACAGAAAAGCAGCGTTGTGTTTAGTAATCACTCCACAGGATCTCTGGCCTCTACCTGAATTTATTCTTTTCTTTTTCTTCAGATATCATGCCCAAGACGTAAAACTGCCAGATTGGCTCAGAGCAGAGCACTGCTTCTGACCATGGCCAGTGTCAGCACCATCAAGGAAAGGGCAATAACCCCACAGTTAAAGAATAATGTGCCCTACAGCAGGTCTCTAGTAGCTTCTGTTAATTAGTGACTGGCTACTGCCCTAAAGCAGGACGGTCCCTATACCTTTCCAAGATCTCCAACATATGGTCCTTACTGCTATAAATCTAGATTTCCATTTTTTTTTTTCCCCCCCCTGCATGTTTCCAAATCTTTTAAAACCCTGCTCAGCATTTGGTCCCAAGGATAACTTGTGGAAATGACTTCTGTCGGTTAATTATGCACCAGTGAGGAAGAGGATGGCATTCTTTTATCAGGTTTGAGCTGGCCTTCTTCTAGAACGTAAGATGTAAGAAGTGCCATGCTGGGTCAGACCACAGATCCATCTAGCCCAGTATCCTGTATCTCACAGTGACACAGAGCAGATGCTAAGGGGAAAAATATTTCTGCATGGTCTATCCAGACTAATCTGTTCCTGACCCCTCTTCCTTTACAGCTTCCAGCATTCAGAGGCCTGTGCAGTCCTAGTGTGGAGGTAGACAAGATTATTTTGGTAAATGTGATATCTTTTATTAGACTAGCTGAATAGTTGGAAAAATTATTCTTTACAAGATTTTTGGCACAAGCACCCTTCTTCAGGCATAGGGAGAGTCTGCTGGTGTTTATCTACTCTCTAGGGTGGAATAGAAGCTTACGCCGATATGCAGGTTTGTGAAAATGCAAATGCATGGCAGGGAAGATAAAAAGGGATAGGAGTTAGTGGGTGTGAGACAGGTAGGCAGGGGAGGTTGCATCTGTAACTACCATGTATACATATCCTTAATAGACCTATATTGCATATATTTATTTGTCTAGTCCTTTTTTGCACCTGGTTAAACTGTCAGCCTCTACAACATCTTGTAGAAATGAGCTCCACTCCACAAGCTAATGACAGGCTGGGTGGAAAAGAACTTCTTTTAGTTTGTTTTAAACCTGCTTCTTAATAATTTACTTAAGTGTCTCTTAATTCTGGTATTGTGGGAGACAGTAAATAGTGAATCCCTATTTACTTTCTCTGTGCCATTCATTATTTTGTAGAGCTGTATCATTTTCCCTCTCAGCTGAGAAACTCCAACCTGTTTAGTCTCGTCTCTTGTATGTAAGTTGCTCCATGCCTCTGATTATTGCAGGTCTTCCTTTTGATCTTTTTTTTTTTTTAAGTTGGGCACTATGGGCCTCTTTATACATGCTCTGGGGCAGAGCTGGGGAGGGGGGATGTTTTAATTAAAGGGCTCTGAAAGCTGCTCTAATTAAAGTACCCACAGTGTCACATGTTTTCAGCATCTCGCATTTCAAAATGGCAGTGGGGGTGTTTTAACTAAAGCAAAGGCTGCTGGAGCATGCTAATTAGTATCTGTCTGGCATCTGTATAGTTACCCTATGTTAGCTCTCTTCCAGTCCTCCAGTACGTCCCCTTTCACCTGAACTTTACAGAACTCCTGTTTAGGAGAGAAGGGAAAGCAGAACAGTGAAAACACTCCCAGCCGCAGGTCACCAACTCCAAGGAATCCCCAAAGCATGGATGCAAGTGCTACCCCCCACTCGCCCGCTGCTCACTCCCACACCCTGGTGTCAGAGCCACACACTTCAGTGCCTAAAAGATACTGCTCTACCTGGAACGTGAGGGCACCACCCATGTGGATGCCTCTGACCCACAACAGTTGTGAACTGGGTCCCGATCCAGGACATTTTGGAATGGTTCAGTTGTGCTTGTTGGTCAAAACTGAATGTCTCAAATCTTGATTTAGAAATGCTGGTACAGCACCTCAAGGGAGCTGCAGTCTGAGCTACCCTTCTCTAAGGACCGGGTCCCTTCTGGTTACATGTTTACACAAGATAGCGATAATCCTAAAAATATACTGAGCTAAACCTGAAGAAGCATTCTGACCCAGCTCTCCCTCCCCTCCACTCTTCCCAGGCTTAGCCGTGTCCTTGTACTGAAGGAGCTTGACTGCCACTGCTCTAATGGGATATCTAGACAGGAAACAGCATCTCTACCGTGTTTATGCCTCTCAGCCACTTGGGTAACCAGACCAAAGATCCCTATACTGCTCTCCTGTCTGACCACCCAGAAAGGCTCTGGAGAGAATACAGGCCATACAGCATGACCAGAAGGTGAACAAACCAGCAACGCATGGATGGGACCAGATTCCAAAGTCCAGCACCTTTCACAGCAAATCCTTGGCCAGCTTTCCTTTCTCTCTTCGAAATGACCTCTTCAGACGGTCAAATCCTGCCTCTTGCTGGAGTTAACACAAGAGGGAGCTTGTGCACCAGTGTACCACTCAAAATCAAATGGGCATGATAGTCAGAAGTTCAGAGAGAGCAAATGTGTACATGCAGCCAGAGGCATGTGGCTCTAAAATGCAGGGTGAAACAAATGGCAGACTAAACTGTGTAGGAGGTCTCAGCACCCCCTCAACCTGCACAAGACTCCAGACAAACATGAAACCAATGGGGGAGGGGGTGGGGAAGAAGGGGGAGTGGATTGAGAAGTGAATGAGTGACTGTAGTGATGCCTCTAAGACAGGGGTGGGCAAAATGCCAGGCCATTCTATCTGGCCCACAGGACCCCTACAAAATTTAGAAAATTAGTATTTATCTGCCCCTGGCTGCCTGTCATGCAGCCCTCGATGGCTTGCCAAAACTCAGTAAGTGGCCCTCCACCTGAAATAATTGCCTGCCCCTGCTCTAAGAGCTCCTGTTTGGTGCTAGACTTTCAGAGAGTCACATTAGGAGTTTCTTCAGCAGGCAGCCTGGCATAGAGCAAATGGATCCATAGCATCTCAGGGAATATACTGGCTAAAGTTATTCCATTCTGGATCTCACAGAAGGATACATCTCAGATAAGTGCACAACAGAAGAACCTGGGTCTGTCTAAGATGTTGCAATCTTACATTTGTCTTGCATGAGTTGCAGTAAGAATTACCATCAAGGATAATCTCTTCAGTGACACATGGACACATGGAAAACACTAATACAGGGGGGCTGCTCTAGAGAGAGTGATTCTCTTTTGAACAGCTGCAGTAGGAGTCCAAAAGGATGTTTTCTAAGACACCATCGTTCTCTGCAAAGGGGGGAAGCTGAGGATGTATGTAGGACACTGATATGGCCCCCATCTCCATAGCATCTGAACTTGTACATTGGAATGTACAGATCCTTGCAACTGCCTTGTGTGGAGTATTATCCCCATGGTATAGGAGAGGCTCTGGGAGACACAGATAAGGACCTAAGTCCACAAAGATATTACATTTTCTCAGTGACAACACACCTCCAAGTAAAACACACACCTCATTTTTGGAAGGCAGAATGTGGGGAAAAAAAGATTTTCTCCAGAGTCATGGCAAACAGTATGATGTAGAGTAAGTCCTCCTGGGAGCACAGTGTGTCCAGGAAATGTGACGTCCCAGGAGAAAGTCTGAGTGAGACAGCAGGTAACATGAACATCCCAGAGAGGAAGTTCCTGTTGCCTTACCCAGACTGTCTCTTGCAATGCAACACTTCCTGGATGCTCTATGTTCCCAAGAGGACTTACTCTATGTCACAATCATTTATGCCCCAAACCCTTACAAGGGCAGTAAGGTTTCAGGTTCCTTACTGTTCTTTATAGAAGTTCCTGCAAATAAAGTGTGGTTTCTAAATCATAAGTCTCATCAAGATACTACCAGTAGCTCACTTGCTGCTTCAGGCACAAGCTACAGTGCTCAGCAAACAGCTGCAGCTGTCAGAGAGTTAACACAGGTCTCCACTCCTTCAGCTTTCTGCGCCAGACACCAGCAGCAGCCATCTTGGCATGCGCAGTGGACACATCATGGCACACACAGTGGGTGCATCTACATGTGCAATTAATGCACTTGAATTTTCTGTGCAGGAAATTTAAACTTATTAAACTGGGTCCCCACACACATCTGAACACGCGCCTGTCAGGAGCAAATTTGCTCCCAATGGGAGCAGTTCAGTCTAGGGCTGCTCCTGCCCTACTCTGCCCCCCTGCAGTACTCAGATGGAGCTCCAGGCTCCCCCAGGTGCCAGCCCTGGGCTGGCAGGTGGCACAAGGTCTGGTCCCGATCTCTGCAGGGCAGGGGAGGGCAGTCTTAGTTGCCAAGAAGCTGCCTCCCAATCATGTGGAGATCAGGACCTGTCCCGATCTCCACATGGCTGGAAGAGCTGTCCCAGAGGCTGGGCAGCTGCCTCCCAGCCATGTGTAGAGATTAGGACAGGTCCCAGTCTCCACATGGCTGGGAGGTAATGTCCCACCACACTGGAACAGTTCTCCCTTGTCTCCTGTGGCCCCCTGCTGCCTAGGCTGACTAGGTACAATTTGTTCCCAGTCAGTGTCTGTACGTGCACTTTGATGCATTAGTTTAATGTGCAGATTTCTAGTGCCTGTGTCTACAGGTACTAGAAAACATCGCATTAGACTGCTGTACTGTGCAGTAATTGCTGTGCATGTGTAGATGCTGATGCTTTACTGTGTATTCAATTAGTAAAATGCTTAGTAAAGGGTCTCATGTAGACACATCCAGTGTCTCCAAATGTACTTTTTTCCATTGAAGAAAATAGCTTCCCTGCTTACTACATGCCCCCGCCCTGCAATTTTGAAGGGATGTCTTTTGGGTGAAAGAGTTGTGTAGGAACTAGACACCCATAGCACCTATCTGGGTGTCTAGTTCCTAAACAGGAGTTCATTGTTAATTAGAGATCTAAGTGATTTGCTCGTGGTCACCCATGATGACTACAGCAGAGCAGGGAAGTTGAACTTGGGTCTCACATGGCCCATAATAAAACCACTAGACCAGCCTTTCTCCCCCTGGTGGCAGTGATATAGGTGACCAGGTGACGTGGACATCCTCCATGGCTTCTGCCCTGCAGAATGGAGCATGTCTCTAGTCATCCCCTGACCATCTCTCACCTCGAATGCCCTTCTCGCCATGAAGCCAGCCCTTTCAGCCCTGGCCAATAGCTCTGATTGGTCCTGCCATACCAAGCCTAGGAAGAGAGAGCAGGGGGTTTGACTAAATGAACTTCTGCCTTGTTTTCAAGCCTTGTTTTCCTATGATTCTACTAGCACTTCATTCTGTAACTGCAAGCAATGGGCACTAGCAAAGAGGAAGTCAGTCAGAAAGCACCAGGGTTTCTGCCAGTAGTTGGTTGTGAACTCACTGGAGCCTCAGTTAACTGAGAGAAGGACATCAGGTTAAATAAGCACTTGTCTGAGATGGTTTTACAGGGAGGAGCCTGCCTTGAGTGGATAGTTTGACCAGATGACCTCCTAAGGTCTTTGCCAGCCCTGCTTTTCCATGTGTCACTGTTTCTTTATTTTAGGTTGAAAAAAGGTGCATAGGCCATTATGGTGCTGTAGCAGAGGTTTTAGCCCTGAAAGGACAGCTACAGGCAATAGAAAGTAAATGGGAAACCCAGGGCTTCTAGAGCTAGGATATGCCTCCAGGACAGAATAAATAATCCACTGCTTATCTATATTTGTTTTTCTTACATGCTGCTGCAGAAATGTAACGTAAGTGGGGAGGGATGGCCCATGGCTTGGGGTAGATGAGGGTGACCCTTCAGCTCCCCACAAGGCAGAGGTGTAAAACAGTGATTCTGGACAAGGGTGCCATGGCAGGCTGCTGTGAGATCTTTCCAAGGTGCTGTAATGCCTCGCCCCTGTTCCAGGAGGTAAGCAATTGCTCCTTCTGTCTCCTGGCGCCAAGGATACCAGCATCCCACAAGCAAGCAGCACCTGTGGCTGCTCTCAACGCCTCTCCCTCCCTCCCCCCAGCAGTTCCTGTGCCAGGTCCTGTGCTCCCTGCAATGTACTGTGCTCTGTGTGCCCCCCACGTAGTCTTGGGGCTCCACTTTTCATCCCAGCTCATTCCCTATCCCTTCTCACTTCCTCCCATGCTCCCAGGGCCAGGGGAAGTGGTTCTAGTCACTTGTGTTAAAGCCCCTGGAGGAGAAGCACTTGCCCCCTGAGGTACAGACTAGGAGCTGGGAGGAGGCAGATGGTGGAAAAAGTAGGGCACAGTGGGGTGAAGGCCTGTCCCCTTCGCTGGGCATGAGCTAGATTCTAGTTCAGTGGTTCTCAGCTAGGGTGCCCCTAAACTTAAAAAAATTATGAAGGGGTGCTTCAAGACTAAAAAGGTCAAGAACCGTGAAAGAAAAGACAGCAAAATCACCCTGCTGAGTACTGTGGCTAGCAGATGCACGAAGCCTGAAACCACTGACTCCAGGCCATTGGCCTAGAGTTGATGGACGGTTCCAGGGGCCATGTACTGCTAATTCTGATCAAACATGTTTACCCAGAGCACTGAAGCTACTGAGGTCAGTTTATCTTTAGCTACAGAGCACGGTGCAGCGACCTGAACTCTCTCATTTAAGAAGCGATAATGGTTCAGAGCAGTTAAAGGGATGTTCGAAATACTGCAATCCAGACAGCCCGAGGTCCAGATTGCAACATGCCTCTCAAGGCTTAACCTTTACAAACACCCGCGCTGCTATTTACAAGCAAGGCTGTGCTAGCCACTTGATGCTGGGCATGAGTTTGCCCTGGAGGGAGGAGGTGGTGGGAGTTTTAGGATACAGAAGAGTCTTTGTTATGCTGGAGATATATTTATTGAGACAGGAAAAAGCTTCAAACAGAACGCTGTGCTTAAAACAGAGCCTGGAAATAGCAGCAAAAAAATAACACCCTCTGCTTTCTTACCTATGCTCTGGCTTTCTCTACTAGCACTTGCATTTCCCTTCCAAGACCAGACTTAGTGCAGCAGATCTTTGGCTCTCCCTTAAGCCCCTGACATTTAGAATAGATGGCATTGGCTGAAAGGTGATAAATGCTGACCAGGCCAACTCATGATCTTGGCATTCATGTGGGATGGATGATGCAAAAGTGTCAGAGAAACTGTCGTTGTTTAGCAATGGCCTTGAATCCTGAGTGAAGCAGAGAGATTCCTAGGGATGTGATGCCAGGGAGGGCTCTGCCTGGCTGGCAGGATAATATCATGTGTCCCAAAGAAACCTGAGAGCACCATGGGACCTATGAAAATGGCAAGGCTAAGCAGCCGAAGGCCTCGGCACACCCAGGCAAAGTAATGCTCTTGCTTTACTAAACTTCCCAGGTTGATGGCTGTGGAGGTCCAGCAGGTCCTATGGGACATGTCCACAGTTTCAGATTTTCTCTCATGTTGATGCTCTCAGGGCAGCTCCCTGCTCAGCCCCTCTAAAGGGTGGAGGGGAAGCCCTTCCTTCAACTGCTCCCCACTTTCCACAGTCCCTGAGCATCACTTGACCAAGCATGCCTTTGCCTCCACAGCCCCCAGTGCTGCCATGGTTGCTTGAGGGCCAGGCAGCAGGGAAGGGGTGCACCCCTAGATTCTTGAGGGGTTTTAGGCACCTAACATACTGCAGGGATGGAGGTGCACCTAA